GAAAGGGGAGTCCCACTTTGCACCTGGAGACTTGCCACGGGAGTTGTGAAACCCGGGGTACAAAAAAAAAAAAGCCACATTTTCAAGAATCCACACGTGGGAGAAGGAGATGCTGTTACTAAGACAGAAGCTCCACCCAGCAGGTCAGGGCGGCCATCAGAGGACCAAGCATGCTCGAGACTAATCCCTAATTCTGCCTTTCAGTGCTAAAGAGACAGGGGCCCAGAAGAGACTCCGTAAGCCTGAGCCAGGATGGGCAATAACTGCTTCCTGCACCGGCTGGAATTCGCATATTTAATTTGATGGAGCATATAAATTGGCAGTTATTCAAATGAGTGCATTTGCATATCCTGGGTTTAAGGCTATGTGATAATTCCATACCATTTTTCCCCCATAGTGCAGGGCAAGGACATGAGATATTCCTCTTTCTGAGGCTTCTAGAAAGGGATGAACAGGCAGCTGAGTGGACCCAGGACCTGCTCCTGGGTGCACTGGAATTGGGGGGCTGGGGTCCATGCCCAGGAGGTGCCCAGCGGGCCTTCTCTGGAGGACATGAGATGAGAAGGCATCATAGCCACTTCCTGAAGTGTTGGCCATGGCCTCCCAGCTCGCAGCGTCCAGCCGGGGTCAACGCCCTTGACCCTGAGGGTGGCACAGGCCCCAGGCCGGCTCAAGGTCCCAGTGGAACAGGTGTTCTGAAAGCCAGCATCAGCATCACTGGGATCTCATTGGAAAAGCAGATTTTTAGGCTCATGCATGGGGGGGGGGATGGGGGGTAAGGGAGGTGGGGAGGTGTCAGGTTACCCCAGTGCTGGGGCTCACTTCCCAAGGCACAGGCCAAGTCCTCACCCAGTGCCCTTCAGGACTGGGTCTGACTTTGGGGAAGCAGGAGGAAGGCTGGGGTTTCCATGTGAGGGCAGAGGAGCAGGAAGCACCTGTCCTCTGATGTGTGGGGGCCTGGGTGTCAGTGGGCAGGGGGCCGCCGAAGGCTGACCTAGCGAGGCCCTTCCTCCAGGCAGGGCTGGCTGAGCCCAGGCAGGTCTCTGTCTTGCCTGGACTGAGGCAGCGCTGGGTCCTTGCGCGGGATCCAGATAGCGGGCATTGTGCCGATGCAGGCCCTGGCCTGTGCCTTGTGCCTGAGCAGAGCTTCTAGCCGCCATCACTCAGCAGGGTTCCCAAGGTGTCCTCAGGCCAGGCTCTGGGCCACTGGGTGCTACCCAGCAGGGGAGACCCCCAACCACGAGCGCTTTCGGGCAGGAGCTGGGGCTAGGGCAGGAGACCTAATGGGGAGGATCTTGGGACCAAGCAGCCAGGAGGCTGTGCCTGGCCCAGAGGTCCAGCAGTGTTTCTAAAGAGAGTGGGAGCCAGCTGACCAGGGTGGCCAGAGCTTCCCATTTAAATGGAAACAGGGTCCAAGAGGTAAGTGGGTTTGCAGAGGCAAACCTGGGAGTTAATTGAAGGCCACACTCTCTGTAAGGTGGAGACATGGCGGGGAAGAGGGAGTGAGGTTGCGGGGAGGGAGCTGAGAGGGGCTCCTAGGACCCCCCAGGAGAGCGAGGGTGGCCACCTGGACCAGGGCGGGTGGCAGTGGGATGGAGAGAGGAGCGTAGCAGAAGGGGCCCCCTGGCCGGGGAGAGCCTTTGAGCCTTGCGGTGGGAGAGAGGAGAGACTTTCCCCCTGGGGTCTGGCTTGGGCACCTGGGCAGCTGCCCAGCTGCCAGAGCTATGGAACCCTGGGTCAGGATGAGGCTTGGATTTCCAGATTTACCTCGTAGGTCCAGAGATCCGGATTGCCGGGATCTCGACACAGTACCTGGGCAGGGGCACGCCCACCCCGTGCCAAACGGGGAGGATAGGCTGCCGTGAAGAACAGAGATGAGGACTCGCTCAATATCAGGAGGAAGTGGCAGCCAGGGGCGCTGACTCCTCAGAGGGAAACAGGAGAGATCCTGGAGTCGTGCTGGTGAGTCCCAGGGGTGGAACCTGGACGCACATCAGGATGAGGGCACAGGGCTTAAGGTTTCCTGGGACATCCTTAGGTAGAGGCCCAGGTAGGCCAAGGGCAAACATTTCCTGAGAGCTTAGTGTGGTTTGTGATTTCACCAGGTCCCCGGGCTCCTCCTAGTGCTTTCTTGGCCAACCCTGAAGTGTGACCTCATTTTCTCATTCGCAATATGGCTGCTGGAGCTCCAGCTATCATGCCCATATTCCAGATAAGAAAAGAAGGAAGGGTGCAAAGTCATCTGTCTGCTGAGTCAGCCCTCGTTTTGGGGGCTTTCCTGGAGACAGCACCCCAACACTTCTACTGTCAGCTCCTTTTCACTACCAGTGTCTGCCAGATAGGGTGTGCTAGGCAGCTTTGTAGCTTGGCGTTTTGCTCTCAAAGTGGAGAGGAGAATTAATGCTGGATAAGCAACTAGAAATCTGTGTTGCAGGAGAAATTAGCATATTTTCCCCCTTAGATCTTGCTTTTTAAAAATTGAAAAAAAATTGTAAACAGCAGCAAACGAGGTCAAGTTATTAAGAAAATCACGAGTGTCGTAGGCAGAAATCATTTAGATGCAAGGAGCAGAAAGCTACTTGGCAGCCCTAGGTAAGATGGGATTTGTTGCAAAGATTCATGGGCAAATCCCAAGCCAGGGAAGCAGGCGAGCCTGGGAGGGCCAGAAATGAGGAAGCCGGTCCGAGGTTTGGGTCTTCTCGCCCCTTGGCTCTTGGCAAGCGCTAAACGCCCTGACCACCTCGCCTGCTCCTGTCTGCCCGTCTGCCTCTCTCCACCTCTCTGCTTGTCATGTCTCCGTCCCTCTCCCCCGTCCACCTCCCTCTCTCTGTTTTCCTCTCTAGATGGTCAGCCTGACCTGCCGGTTCAAGCCAACAGAATGCGTGTCCACTTCCAAATCCCCCTGCGTTGTCCGGGTCTGCTGCTACAAACACAGCCCCCAGGCTCGGGGACGAGCCCACAGTCCCCAGGCGGGGATGAGCGCTGTCCTGGCATGGCAGAAGGTAGCGCAGGGCGGGAACAGCCGGGCTGGTCCCATCCGTGAAGAGGGAGCCCTCGTGACTTCCGCACCTCCAGAAGTCCCCGCCTCCTAGTGCTATCCATGGGCGACAGTCTCAGCGTGTGGATGGGGGCGGGGTGGGGAGGATGCGTTCAGACCGTGGCGCTGGGATAGAACAGGAGCCGCTAAGCTGGGGCCAGACGCTCACCCACTCCTGTTCAGCCAGGTGTTGCCTGAGCGGGGGTGGGGGCACTGCTCACCAGGGAGCTGGGGTGGGTGGGCTTTGAAGCCAGGTGTCCACAGATAGCTGAGGACAGAGCTGCTGTTCTCTCATTGTACGGAGTCCAGTCTTCGCTTTCCTAGCAGGTGCGTAGAGAAGGCGTCTCTGTAACTCCCTCCCTTCTCCGTGTGAACCGGCCTCCCCCTTCCCAGAAAGACCTGAGGCTCCAGGCTAAGAAACTTCCAAACTCTCCCAGATCCTTGTTCCTCCATTTATTTTCCTCTTCTAAAGACTGCAAAGTGAAAGACAAGTAGGTTACGTCCTTGACCTCAGTGGCTCATAACCCAGGGCACAGTGATTGGCACATCCGTCCATCATTTTCAGCTCAATTGGACTGTTTCGGAAAACCCAGTACATAAGAACTGGCTGCCTAAGGCAGAAGGTGCCGTGAGACCAAAAAAAAGAGAGAAAAACCCAGGATGACATTTATTGGCGATGCTTCCAGACAGAAGAAGGATCCTGGGAGGGACAAGGCAGCAGGGCCCCCGCACTGCGAGGCCAGAGATGGGAATTCATGGACCAAGATGGCCAGTGGCTGGCCAGGACACACTCGAACTTTTGCAAGAAGCACTGACATTCAAAGAGACACTGTAGCTGGCGCCGTGGCTCACTAGGCTAATCCTCCGCCTTGCGGCGCCGGCACACCAGGTTCTAGTCCAAGTCGGGGCGCCGGATTCTGTCCCGGTTGCCCCTCTTCCAGGCCAGCTCTCTGCTGTGGCCAGGGAGTGCAGTGGAGGATGGCCCAAGTACTTGGGCCCTGCACCCCATGGGAGACTAGGATAAGTACCTGGCTCCTGGCTTCAGATCAGCGTGGTGCACCAGCCGCAGCGCGCCGGCCGTGGCGGCCATTGGAGGGTGAACCAACGGCAAAGGAAGACCTTTCTCTCTGTCTCTCTCTCTCACTGTCCACTCTGCCAATCAAGAATCCACCACATGGACTAAAAAAAAAAAAAAAAAAGAGAGAGAGAGAGAGAGACACTGTAGGCACGAGGCAAGAGGGAAGTTGATCTGAACAACCCCACTGGGCTTGGTGGCTCCGTCCGAGATGGCCACAGTCCCATCACGCTGAATCCCGACACTGACTGTGGTTTCTCACGCTGCACGGTTGGCCCAGGCAGCCCCTGAGCGTGACAAACATCTGAGAAAGACATCGCTGGCAGAATGAGATCCCCTGGTCGGATGCTGGACGCACAAGATAGGAGCAAGGGCAACAATGAACAATGGCCAAGGAGAACAAACCGAGCTGATAAAATTAAGAAAAATGGTTGAGACCTAGGGGACGATGGCAAATGCTTTGACCAAATCAGTGTGAAATATAACCCCGAGGTTGAATTTCTCAGTCCCTGGGCTGGGATACGCGTCCCTGCTGCAGATCCCAGGGGCACCAGGGCGTGCTCAGAAACTGAATTTCCTCTCGCGGGAGCGCCACAGTATCTCTTTAGCCTCAGAAGAACTTTTTAAAGTTGAGTTTGCATGCACAATGTATGCAAGCTATTTGAAGTTATTTTGAAAGGTAGTTAATTTCCTAGTGTATTTTTCTAAATAGCTCCATTGCGCCACAAACATTTCCAATGAGCACACAAAATGTTCGTGGAAAATGCATATTATGTAAAAACCATGCATGAATTTCAAACTTTTTTTGCACCAAAAACATATCTTTTTTGGGGGGGGGAGCTCTGGCCGTTTATTGCTCCCCGGGGTGGGGCAGAGGTGGGGTGGGGCTCAGTCCTTCTTGGCGGCCGCCTTGTGCATGGCGGCCAGGATGCTGCTCAGCTCCGCGCGCTTCCTCTTGGCACGGATGTGGATGCCCACCCTCTTCTTGATGAACCTGAGCGCCCGTTTGTCCTTGGAGACCTTGAGCAGCTCTGTGGCACGGCGCTTGTAGGGGGCGAAGCCACACAACTCCCGGATCAAGTGCCGCACGAACTTGGTGTGCTTGGTGAGGCGCCCACGCCGGCGGCTGTGCCTCAGCTTGCCCACGTTCTTGGTCACCTTGTGGCCTTTGTTGAGGCCCATGACCATGGGGTAGCGCAGGGCCATGGCTGCAGCTTTCCAATGGCGGCCAGGGCGGAAGCACAAAAACATATCTTTTGGTTCCATTTTCCATGAGTTTTTTGAAATACCCTTATAAATTTCCTCATTCTATCTTTGGCTACTTTTCCGCATAGAAGGAAGTTGAACTTACTCTGTCCAGTTGAAGCATCACCAGTAACTCTGACACCTGCACTGCTACATAGATGACTTACTACATATTTGATTTACTTATTTCAATGTTCTGAAAGGCAGAGAGAGCGTCCCTCCATTGGTTCACTCCCCAGATGCCCACAACAGCTAGGACTGAGCCATGTCAGGAGGACCCCAGAGCTCCAGCAGAGTCTCCCACACAGGTGGCCAAGGGACCCAAGGGTTGGAACCATCATCCTCTACCTCCCAAGATGCTTCTCAAGTCCAGGAGCCTGGACTCAAATCCAGGCCCTCTGACATGGGATGTGGGTGTCCCAAGCAGCGCTCAAATCCTGGTCATGTATCCTACGGAAGTAGCATCCTCACCACCATCGAAGAAAAGGGCTAAGAGGGATCTATCATACATAATCTGATTCGTTAAAGCGGAGACCCGGAAGTGGGTTTTTAGTTACTGTTGAGTGTGTGCTAAGCAGGACGCATTCTTTCAAAACCCTTCCCCCAGCAGAGCGTCTGGAACTTGGAGTAGGTGTAGATGGCTGTGGGTGGGGTGTAACCGAGTGCCAGCTGTGTGCCCTGGCTCTGTGAGCTCCAGCCCTGCTGGGTGGGCTGCCCGGGTGCCTGGCACACAGGCACTCACTTCCCAGGTTACTGGGAGGATTGGTTTCCAGCCCAGAGTTTTTCAAAGAGCTGTACTGTACCCCATTATTCTTGGAAACTCTGCCTGGGGCACTGAGACACCCCATCTGGGGCTCTGCTCAGTTTTGAAAGGAGTCGAGATAACATCATTTGATACCTTCCCAACATGTCAATTACAAAGGGAAGAAACAATTCCAAGTTCAAACACGTTGGGTTCCCCCCCCTTTTCCCCCTCCTTTATGTTCTCTAAGAAGTTCGGACTCATTAATTACAGCGGTGGTAATTATAACCCACTTCTCCTTCTGCAGAGCCCTCTGAGAGCTGAGAGCCCTTTATAAACACGAGCTCATTAATCGTCCCAGCAGCCCTGCAGGTAGCAGGCGGCTCCTGGATCCCTTGGCTGGGGCTGCAGGTGCGCTGGTGAGAGGGGCCCTCTGTGGAGACAGCCGCTTTCTCAGGCACCAAAGACCAAGGTCAGCCTGGGGGGTGTCTGGCTTTGTGGGCATCAGCTATGCTGGCATTACACAGAGCCCTCACTCAGCCCAGCGCCTCTCCATGGCGCCCCCACAGGACGAGGCCAGACACACACAACCTGTGTTCCCAACCCCACACCTCTGCTGGCCAGGGAGGGGGTGACAGCCAGAGGAGCCGAGGTCTGAGAGCCACAGCCGTGGCTGTGTGGCCCGCTGCCGGGCAGCTGCAGCCAGCCTGTGCAAAAGTCTGGGTCGTTAGCACAGCAGCTGTGGCGAGCCCTCCACGGCGGCCCGACCTGCACTCCCTTTCTGGGCACCACCTGCCTTCTTGGTGTGCGCCACAAGTTCTAGGGGGTTGCAAACTTGGAACCAGAGCCAGCCACAAAGACCCAACATGGCTGCAGGGTGCCATGCCGGCAACTTCCCCACCCCTGCCATGTTCCCAACAGTGCCACGCCTCCAATATTTCCAAAAGAGGCAGGGAACCAGGCGATACTCAAAACCTGTCCCAAACTCCACCCTCTTTGAATAGCCAGGCAAGCCCCACCCCAGACTCCACCCCCAGGCCTCCCAATCCTATAAAGGGAACGTTTTAGGTTTTGGCTCTCTCTCTCTCTCCCTCTCCCTCTTAAGCTTGCCTGCCCTCACCTCTGAGTGTGCAAGTATGCTTTGCTGTACACCAATCCTGCATCCTTGACTCTCACCTCCGCCTTTTTTCACGAGTGAGGGAAGAGCCTGGAGCCAGCCCAGCTGGGGCCCCTGGCCCACAACACCCGCCTCCGCCCGGGTTCTCCTGGGAGCTGCAGCCTCTGCCGCTCCCTGCCCTCAGCCACAGGGGCAGTCTGAGGACTCCTGCTGCAGGTTAGCCTGGCTCGTGCGGCCTCTCCGGGGCGGCTGACCGCTGGTCTGATGGGGTCCCAGGGAGCTCTGATGCGATGAGATGGGTGGGGGGATCGGGAGACCACTGCTTGCTCCACTGCTCCGGCTCCTTCCATCGCTCTGCGGACTCCCTGGCTGCTCTCCAAGGTCCTGGTTCCCCCCTCTCCAGTCCGACCTCTCCCATCAGCCTTGCCTGTAATGGCTGTCATTCTCCTTCCATGAACTGCCACACAGACACTCCCTCTTCACCGAAATCCTGCTGAGCCCGGCTCCAGGAGACGCCCCTGCTCAGATCTGAGCCTGCACACATACACAAGGGCGGGGGTCACACTGTGGTCTGTCCTTCCTAGCCACTAGGGCCTTGGCAGGTCTGCACCTCCCCAGGCTTTTGCGTCCTCACCTCTCTCTCTCTCTCTTTCTCTCTCTCTTAAAATTATTTATTTATTTATTTGAGAGCCAGAGTTACAGACAGTGAGAGAGAGAGACAGAGAGAAAGGTCTTACTTCCGTTTGTTCACTCCCCAAATGGCCGCAACGGCCAGAGCTGCGCCGATCCCAAGCCAGGAGCCGGGTGCTTCTCCCTGGTTTCCCATGTGGGTGCAGGGGCCCCTTGGGCCATCTTCTGCTGCTTTCTCAGGCCATAGCAGAGATCTGGATCAGAAAAGGGGCAGCTGGAACCAGGAGGAGGATTAATCTGTGCCACGGAGCCGGCCCTGCGTCCTCATCTCTTACACAGAGTGTAGCAGAATGACAAGGGAAGGAACGGGGAGCTCCCTGCCTGGGGCTTGAGCCGCAGCACTGCGCGTCTTCTCTGCCACGCGCAGGGGAGGGATGTGTCTCATTCATCGCTGGGGTAGTGACCCCCCAGATCTCTTAGGTTTTTAAGTATTTTATCTATGGATTGATCTATTTAACTTGAAGGCAGAGAGATGGAGAGAGAAAGATAAAAACACAGAGGTCTCCCATTTGCTGGTTCACTCCCCAAATGCCTCCAACAGCCAGGGCTGGGCCATGCTGAAGCCAGGAGCCCAGAACTCAGGGTTGGGAGAGATAAAGACCCAAGGGACCTGAGCCATCACCTGCTGCCCCCAAGGGTACACATTAGCAAGAAGCTGGGAGGAAGAGGGGAGCCACGACTCAAGCCCAGGCACTGCCCATGGGCTATGGGTACCCAAGCAGCACCCAACCCCTGTGCCAAATGCCTGCCCCCTGCTCGGTTTCAAAAGATGAGGAAGGGCCACCACTGTGCAAGTACAGTGGGGAGTGGGAAGCCTGCACCAGGCTGGCCTCTAGGAGAGCAGACAGGTTCCACTGTGTCCATGGTCAGCTCCTGGAGAACGGGTGTGGCAAAGCAGAGACACAGAGAACTTCCTGTCACCCAACCTGCAACACCCCTGGGGCTCTAATCCCACCACGTCTTTGCTAAGCCTGACCACTCTTTTTATTTTTACTTTAAAAATTCTGGTCGGGAGGCAGGGGGCGGCACTGTAGCGTAGCGAGTAAAGCCTGCAGTGCTAGCATCCTATATGGTTCGATTCCTGGCTGCTCCACTTCTGAGCTAACTCCCTGTTAATGACCTGGGGGAAGCAACAGAAGATGGCTCAAGTGTTTGGTCCCTGCACTCACATAGGAGACCTGGATGGAGTTCTAGGCTCCTGGCCTCAGTCTGGCCCAGCCTGGCCCAGCCCTGGCCATTGCAACCATCTGGGAAGTGAACCAGTAGACAGATCACCTCTCTCTCTCTCTTTCTCTCTCTCTCTCTCTTTCTCTCTCTGCTTCTCTCTATCTCTCCCCGTGTGTGTGTGTGTGTCCTCTTCTTTCTGTAATTCTGACTTCCAAATAAGTAATGTGTGATCACTTTCTCACTGTAAAACCATCACCACGGAGACAGCAGGCTTCCCCTCCACCCTCATCCTCAGCTCCCTCCCGCTGCCCTAAGATTTTCTGTGTGACTTTCTGGAACTGTTTCTATGTGTTCAGTTATTTTGAGGGCCACAGAGGCTCTTCTGAAGATTTTGCTCTACTGTTAGTAAGAGTCTTGATTTCGTATAAACCTTACCCTCTAACTCTACCAGACATTGGAAAAAGCACTGATTGGGCCAGGATCCTGCCAGTCTCAGCCTGAGCTGCTGCCCAGATCCGAACTCCAGGCTGTGGTGCAGAGCATCTCGTGAGAACCAGGCGTCAGGCAGTCGTCTGAGTGACATCCAACTGGTTCCTAGCTTCCTGCCTCTGGTCTCCATCTCCATCAGCATGCACTGAAAATCCATGCCTATCACATTACAGAAATTAGGCCCTTTATGTGTATTGTGTTTCTCTGGCCATCCAGCTGGTCACCTTGCCAAAGCCAGCTTCCCCTGACGTCGTTTTATTTTAAGTCACTTACTCTGTGTGAACCCATCTGGACCCCTGCCAGTCTCCATTCTGCTCTCTGAATGTTGGTGCTTTAATCACGTGTGCCACAACCCTGCTTTGGATTGCTAGCAGGCTCACGAGTGTACAGTATTTCCAGGGAAAGTCAGCTTTTCCGCGGCCTCAGTCCTACTAACAGCACCATCGGCTGCTTGGTGATTGCTACGGTTTGAATGCTTTCCCCTAGAGCTTGTGTGTTGGAAGCTGAATTTCCACTATCATTTGTTGATATTTGGAGATGAGGCTATGGGCGGTAATTAGGGTGAGAGGGGGTTGCAGGGGTGAGCCCTGGGGGGGAGCAGTGGCTGCATCAGAGGTAGAGCCCCCTGAGCTTCCCCCTCATGCTCGCTCGCTCGCTCCCACCACAGGATGCCCCCCGCTGTGTGAGGACACAGGAAGAAGACCCTCACCTGACACCCTGGTCCTGGACACCCCAGCCTGCAGCCGTGCAAGAAACAAATTGTGTCTCTTTCTAAATTGTCCACGCTGGTCCAGGCTGTCTCAGGACTCAAAGGAGTAGTTCATTGGCCAAAGCTGGACTGGCCGTTTCTTCCATCACAGTTATACTGCCTGCCCAGGGCACGCCCCCTTTTTCC